ATCTTAACCTGCGTGATAAGGCAATTTCTTAATTTAAGAAACAAAAAAAATCGTATACATAGTTTGAGGAAGGTGACGTGGTCCATTTTCAATATTAACCAAAATGCAGATTCTTAAAAGTCGATAAAGAAAAAATAACTTGAGTTATAAAAACGCTTATTATTTCAGAAATCGTTTTATAGCAAACACTAATACACACTTTCTACTCAAGTTATCAGAATTTTAATAAACTTCCATTATAATTTTGCGACGTGGAATAGTATCTGTTTAAGTAAAGTATTGATCATTTTCTCTACTTATGTGAAACTAAGTAGTGAATACTAGATCAAAATTCTGGTTAATCAAAACACTTGACTACGAATTCTGCATTGTTCTGAGAATCAAAACATTGAAGCAACGTTAAACAAATTGCCTTACACTTTTATATACTTTAATGAAAATTTTACTATGTATGTTAAGAATAAAGTAGATTAACAAATAAAAATTTTAAGAATTAATATAACAGTTCGCTCAAATAGTTTGACATATACCAATTTTTTAGTCTACTAAACATGTCTTCATATGCTGCCTAATATAGGTTCGTATTTAGATGGATTTGGAAATGATGGTGTTAGAAAATTATTATTTTAAAAAACATAATTTATCCTTAATTCTTTTATAAAATTGTACTTGTACCTTTTTGTTATACAAATACTCTAATACATGAATTTTTTTGGTTAATGAATATTCTACCTATCTCTCATGCACTATGTCTAAAGGGAACTGCTTAGTATTTTTTTTTTAAATGCGCATAAATTTATAACGTATGAGTATTAATTTATAATGTTAGATAATTATAATGTATTAATTAATAACTTTATGAGTTTTGGCAAAAAAAGAAATAGATTGTAGCCCAGTACTGAGACGAATTGCAGATAAATGATGCGTCAACGATGCAATGTTTTCATTTGCAAGCCAATTTGTAATATAATAATGATCTATTTAATTTTCAATTTTGGCCTATTTGCTACTAATTAACATCGACTGAGCTTAAATTTGACAGAGTATAAGTTTAAACCTTGGTTGAACCCTTGCAGTCCCAAAAAATTATTTATGAATAATTAGATATATATTTTTATTGCAATGCATTAAATAGTAGTTGCAATTTATTACTGTTCGAAAAACCTATCTATTAAATATAATAGTTTCTATTAAGAAAATAGATGACTCTATAGAGTCTATAGTCGAAATACCGGTAATAATATATTTTTATTTATTATTTAACATTGACTTATTAGTCCTTACAAAACATATAAATAAAACTTGCATCAGTAAAACAATAAATTAAAAGAAAAATGATGTGGTTTTCTGAAGAAAAAGAAAACTTGAAAAATGGATTAAATTAAATTTCAAATAAATATTTAATAGACCAAAAAATAAAATACGATTTCAACTATTTACCTGAATTGTTGACTTTAAGATATTGAATTGAGGGTTTTTCCAACAACTTAGATAACATTGAATATAGAAAACATATGTAGGAATATAGTACATTAAGTTTATTTAGAGTACAACGCGAAGTAATGTAAAGAAAATGACTTCGAATTGATTTTTTATACGAATAATTCGTAAGAATGGAGATTTCTGACCAATTAATTTATTATTGATATTTGATCTATTGACTCTAACAAATTTAATCATAGAGCACAATAAAATAATGCTGGAAAAAATCTTATTATGAAAATAGTTTTGACCATTTGAAGCAACAAATCGATCGTAAATGTATGACAATACCATCATGTTAAAATACGTCATTCAGACGTTAATTCATATTATTTTGAAAGAGCTTTATGCTAACTAAACTATAGGACTATATCTTTTTAAAAGGTAATGATGGCAACACTTTTATAGTAAGCTGTGTGCATTATTGTGATATAGATGGTTCTAAAATTTACACTGTCATCTACACCACACTGCGGGTATTGAATCGTGTCCCTATTGCAAACTACATACTATATAGAAACAATGATGTCCAACTCACGATGATAAAGGTATTTGATGACTAAACTAAAAATTTTGAGGTTTCGTAAAAGCATGGTCTATGACGCCCAACTCGCGACAATATAGGAACTAAAAAGTGCCATTGGTATAACAAGAAAAAAATGACTGGATATGTTACTAAAACGTGGACAATTCGATACTAGAGTTTTGAACTTCAAGTTGATTTATATCACATTTAATTTAAAAAAGATTCTACTGAAATCTTTATAAACTTAATCCATTCGGCAAGGTATATAAAAGTAACCAAATTTGTATGTCTGTATGTTTCTTTAGTTTTGAAGTTACAGTTAACAATTTTGATATACAGAGCTTTTTAAAGGTTAAATAAATTTGACAATCATATAAACCATTGAGAGAAATTTACAATTTGTAGTTCATCAAAGTATTGTTTGGTGTTAAACATACAAATATCTAATACTATGTGATATAGGATAATGGTATTTTAATTTAAAGAGGTTGTGCCATACAAAAGTTTGTGTTGTTCTTCACTACGTCATTACTTATTCAATACTTACAGAAAAAAAAAAGTCAGATTAACAGGTAGTCAACCTAAAGGTCTACGTTATAAAGGTATTGAACTCAGATATAAAGTTCAGATCAGTTAACAAACACTGATTATTAAATAATTTGTATATCACACAAATATGTAGCAAAGACACAAGATTTATTTCAATTAGAGGAAAATATTTTCGATACTTATTCGAAAAGATTTTTTTATTATAATTGCTATGAAAGCGGATATGTTGTTGATGATAGTTAACAAGTTACAGATATTAATGATAAGAAGGAAGAGACCAGCCTCAAGCTGGACACAGGTTCATTGTATTAGTTTTGTCATAAATTATATTGTGTAATCATATACCGAAACCGATATATATACACTGAAACATAAGTGAATTATAATTATATTTGATTTTAAAGTGATTTCAGAATCGAAGAACGTTTAAATAAATTAAAAAAAGTAACTGTCGCCATATGAAAATATTGGTATAATGCTGTTTTTTGATACTGTTTGGTTGTACCTATTTTAAGCGAAAGTTAAAGATAGGCTTTTGGTCATATAACAGAGGAGGAATATGGTTACTTTTTGTTTTTATATAGAAATTTTTTTCTTTTAAACTAAGTACTAACCTAAGAAGAATATCACTTTTTGGCTAAATATAATTTAATATTAGAGAGAAATTGTCTAGAAAACTATTAGTTTGATTTTTTTTTTATTAATATGAAAATTTACAAATTGTATCACAGAATTTTATAGGATTGTGTCAAGAAATGGACGTGTGATATGTTAGAAAATATTATTTAACAGTTTTGTTGCAATTTACTTAATTAATTATAATAGGAATTAGCTGCAATTTTATTCATATACATATCAATATATATGTGAAAAGTAATATTTTTATTGGTTCAAGACTAATATTAACACGTCTATTGTTGCTTCTAATGTTTTATTATCTAATTTTCCAGTTGTACTTAAGTACTTAAATATTAATTAAAAATACCAAGAATGGGATCTATTTCCCTTCGAATACTCCCTTTTTTATATATATATAAGACAAAACAAGAATAAAATGTATATAAAAAATGGAACAGATTACCTATTCCTACAGGTAGAACATTTTTGTATACAAAACTTTTAGATACAAATATTCGATTTAGAATATAATCAACTTATTGAACCATCAAGAACTATCTAAATACTTGAAAACACGTAAATTTTCTACACAGAGCACTTGTTCGTATTTTCGTATATACTTTATAAGTAAATAGCTAGCGAAAATGGATTTAAAATTATGTGAATAATGCTCGAAGCGGATGTAATAAACAGAAATAAATGAATGAAAAATCAAATGGCTTATAAGCAAATTGTCACTATAAAAATATTAATCTTTAAATAAAAAGATTTATTTAAAAAAAAAAAAAAGAAATGTTTAAATCCAAGAATTTAAATTTAACTCAATGGAATTCTTCAGATGACCATACCAGCAGTTTCTTGACAAATTATATTCTCAAAGTAGTAGATTTACGAAATCTCCACAAATGCAGAGTTTTACTTCCCTTAATAATGATTTTTTAAAAGTAAAATTTAAATTCTGTTCTTCATAAAATTGATCAGCGGAGAATTTGTTTTGAGAAATTAAATTATTAGGTCATCTTATACAAACGACTTGTATATTTTTCGTTGGAACAAGTGAATCTTACAGATGTAAAACCTAATAAAAATGTTAATAAAACACTATCTAATAAATGTTAGAAATAATTGATTGTTGTTAGTTAGTTTTCATGATTTAATCTAAAATACACATTTATTCGAAAAAAAATGTGGAGACAGCAGATATAGAAGTTTTGCTATTAAGAAAAAGGGTTTTCTCCTAATTTATAGAATTCACGCTAAATGAATTTATTACTTGAGCTAAAATATTTGATTCGTTTTTTTCACAAATTTAGAGAAATATAAAAAAATGATAATCAAAATTTAATATTGATATAATATAATTGCAATTACATCATACCTTACATATATATCTACTGAAAGATATAAACATATGGTTTGAAATTCTTAGAATTTATCTAAGGAACGGTGAATATTTTCATTTCTGAATCTGAAAAATGCTATATATATATGAAGAACAAAAAAAACTGCAATAAAATAACAGAAATTTACGTTTGGTGAACTGCTTTTGTTCATTGTTCCAAGGTTTTCAAAAACAATGGCTCATTGCACTGTGATGTTAGCTTTCGATCATGTGATGTAACTGAACCGATTTTGCGAGCTATGTGCCTGAGTCATGTATCTAATGCATCATAAGCCATCGGCAGTCTAGTTATTTTAATGAATTTTATATAAAATATGTTTGACGTATGAATTTTTTTTCTTTCTATTTTTGCCTTAACGCAGTTATGTTATATATGACCTTCAGTGCTTTAATACGCACATGTGTTGTACACACAGTACTCACCATCAATGAATACCGGAACATTTATCTCTTCAACTGTAGCAGTAGGCATTGCTCCACTCATATCCTGAAGGAATTCGGAGTCTGTACTTGTCAACTGAATTCCTGCCATAGACGCCAAAGTCATAGTTGGCGTTTGCGTCGCCATTGACGTTGTTGTTGGTTTCGTTTTTGTTTTTGTCGCAATAGGTATTTGGGGTAGTTCTTGTACCGAAATTATATTCGCTAAATTGTTTGAGGATTTCAATGTATAATTGCAATCTGTGCCTGTCAATGTAGTCACCGGCGCTTGCGGGTGTGTTATAAACGTGTTCTGATCGTTCAAATGCGTTTCCGTAATTATATTCTTTACTAAACCTTGTGTTTTGATTGGGTTCCTTTTCACTATAAGCGTTAATTGTTCCGACCTTGGTAAAAAGGGTACTCTTATGATACGAGTTTTCGCGATTCTCGTTTGCGGTATTTGCGCCCGATTCGTCGGGGTTTGTATTATAATAGTTTTCTCTTTCGGTATTTTTATCAGATTTTGATTTCTCTGAAATTGTAATGAATTCTTTGTGTTTCCAACGATTTTCAAATTGTTTGTCGTTTTCACTGGCGTACGATTGTAAGTTGGAGTTGGTATATGTATCTCTGCTATTTGTGGCTCCTGGATCATGAATAGCACTTCCTCTAGATTTTCGGTATTGATTATTGTCGACGGTTGAGTTGACGTTGTTGTTAATATCGCTTTGTGGCCTAGATTGGCATGATTGGACTTCAACAGTGAATGCCATTTTGAACGGGGCTATCAATTATTTAATTTTATTTAAAAATTCGTATTAGATTTTATCGGATTTAGAACAATGTTTTAATATAACAAGTACAGATTTTATTTTTATTAAGTGTATTTTTTCGTTTTATTGACAAGTTCGTTGATAATGAGTGGAGCAAACGCGTTTTATGTGGAAGAAAAAAATAGATAAAAGAAAATAAATATTATTTGTTGTATAAAAGCGATGTAAAGTAATCTAACTATTGTCTCTTCGTATAAGAGTAAAAATGGTATGTACATATTTATTTTAACAATGATATATGCCTATGATTTCTGAGTATGAATGTCATTATTTCGCTGACAAGAGTTTGTACAAAGTCTTTCCTATACAAATTATGCATTCAATTTTATTCATTCAATTGAATACTTTTTACAATTTTAGTTAAAAATTACAATAACATTTTCTCTTTTCATTTTTGGTTCTATAATTTTACAATGTGTATTAATGTGAATAATTGGTTAACATTATATGCATCGATGTAGAATATGGTTTTTTCCCATATTTACGTATTACTTTTTTTATATGACCCTTAAAAGTATTCCGTTGTTCCCATAACCCAAAAATTAGTCCCATAGACACCTGAACCCATTTTAAATACAGGTCCTAATCGAACAGAAATAGTAAACTCTGCCACGAAGGTGTATCTTCTGTCTAGTTCAGCCGCTTAAAATACAGGACCCCTGGTGGTATAAAAATGCTGCAATAAGGAAGAGAATATTTTGGTTACTGCTGCAATGATGACAAATTTACCCATGTACAGATCTGCTAGAGTGTAAATTATTCCTTCAACCTTCATATTTTTATTTAAAGATGTACGAGGTTAGATTTTAAAGATAAAGATAAAACACAAAAAATGCTAAATTTCTATTATCAAAAGTTATTTTATATTTTTTTGTCTTGATTTTTACTTTTTTTAATAATGCTGTGTTATATTTTTTATTTTTTGCAATATTTCTATATATATACGTATATATCATAATATGTTTTACTTTTTCTATGTAGTAGTTCTATATATATATATATATATTACATATTTTATTCCTTTAGTGTAGCATTATCTTATATACATATACTCGTATATATATTTCTTTTTAATATTCATTCAAGACAAAAAATAAATTTAACCCTTGAAATTTCTGACATTTTTCTTAAAAGAAATATTTTTTTATATATAATATTAAAGTGTAAGTATGTTATAATTGGGATTTTTTTTTCGGTCGAACTTAAAATTTAAGAGTCGATTTTAAACAGTAATTTGACCAATTTTTTTGAAAAATATATAGAACCAGGTAGAATAGACTAATTCTACTTATAAAATAGGAGCCTAGTCTATTCAAACGCATACTAAATATATATGTTTACATCAAGATATTTTATTTTTCAAAAAACTGATCATAAAACTGAACAAAATTAACTAAAAGGAAACTGTCAACTACTATATTTCAAAAGAGAACTTACAAGTTAATATCATATACAGACGTTTTAAATATTATCACATTAATTTTTGTAATTTTATTTAAACATAGACAATATTTGATTATAGTATATATTATTTATTGTATTTATTTTTTTAATTTTTTGATGTCCATCTTTCTTTTCGTTTTTTCTTTCTTTTGGGATTTTTTATTTTTAATTTTTTTAACCTTTTTTTATTGTTTTTATCTTTTTTTTTGTTATTTTTTGTCTTCTTTTTTGTTTTTTTTCCTTTTTTTTTTTTTTTTTTTTTTTTTTTTTTTTGTTTTTTTTTCCTGTTTTCATTTTTTTTTTATAATTTTTTTTTTATAATTTTTTTTCCGTATTTTTATATTTTTTTTCCGTATTTTTATATTTTTTTTCCTTTTTTTTTATTAATTTTTTTTCGTTTGGATTTTTTTATTTTTTGTGTGGATTTTTTTTTATTTTTTCGATTTTTTTTTACATCACTTACAGTTATAACATAGGTCCATTTATTAAGAAATTTAAAGACAAATTAGATAAGATAACTCGTAAGATATATTAAAAATAACATATAATATAATATAATCAATTATCATTAAGATTCTGAGGATTAAATAAAGCTTGAAAAAAAAGATATTTGAATAAAAGATATTCTATTATTTTATTCTATATAAAAAAAAAATTGTTTATACATATATAAATATACATACAAATAATGAAGGTAATCATTTCTCAAGTGTAAAATTTTTAATCTAATTTAATATTACTTATTATATATAAGACGTTAACAGGTTTATACAATAAATTAGATCGGTTCTCAATTAATAGAAATACCCAATATTAATAATATATAACCAAAATACGTATATCATATTTTTAGAGTTATATTTAACAATTAATTTAATTATATCTATAGTGCACATAATGTCATATAGTAGACAAAATAATGTTATTTAAATATCATATGATAAGTAAATTTACAAAAAACTGTGTATTAAAATAAAAATTTATATAATATAAAAAATAAGTAGTATAGAAAATAATTAATAGAAATTTAGTTATAATAAATTTTTTTAAGATAACGTACAATAAAATTTTATAATAAAAAATTAAAAATTTAAATATACAACAAAAAATTTCTTAATTATTGAATTATAAATTTAGTTTTAAAATTTATTTATAAAATAAAAACAAAAAAATTATTTTGTAATTCTAAAATTCTACTTTTAACCTTCGCCGTCTACTTCTACATATTTATTGTTTATATTAAAAAAATTAGTTTGATTTTGTAAGAATTTTTTTTCTAATTGTTTTTTGTTAATTGAATTATAATATAAATTTTGAAAATTTCCAAATATTGTAACTTAAGTTTATCACATTTTTTTATTACTTCATTTACATTAGTCTTATAATTGAAAAAATTAAAATACATTTTTTGCTTAAAACTTTTATTAAATTTTGTATCTAATCAAACGATTAACTATCTTTCACCTTTATTAAAATGGGAAAAACCTAATGCAGGAATGCTTAATTTTTCTAGTATTAGTCATTGCACTGTTCAAATAGCAAAATTTTTTTTTTAAATAATATTTAAATATTTTTTTATTTTTAAAAATGTAATGAATAGGTTTTTCACATTTTATATAAGATATTTCTTAACATCGAATTTTGTTACACAATTTATGTGCCTAGATAATATAACGTATGCCATAGTAAACTTTATATTAAATGTTTTAAGATACGATCACTTAAACTTAATCTTTACAGAATTTCTTTCAAGAAATTAAATAATAATAAATAAATAATTTAATATATTTTCCTATTTATAATAAAATTTTTTTGATTAAAAACAAAAATAAATTATTTCGCTAGTACAAATATATATTTATATTATTATATTATTATATTTGTATAATCTAAAATTATCTATATAGAAATGCGTAAACTACACTTTTGTTTCCTATCAATGTTTCCATTTTATTTTTGAAGACCTAGTTTATAAGTTTTTCCTTTCTAAATGATAATATAAATAGATGAAATCTAACCTGTACTTATATAAAAATACTTTGTTAGCTAATAGTAAATTTAATTAAGTATTATATCTATACTCACGAAATAAATAGAAATAGATAGATTTAAATACAGTAAATATACAGATGAATGAGGTAAACTCCCTGCGTTTTATATGGATTAACTTATTTTCAAGAGTTAAATCTTTGGAGTGACAAGAAATATGCTACTGGAAAATATTAAATGAGTAAGTATCCTATCTACCGGGATATTACTTGTCCAAAGAATACACCATATTTTTAAACTATCTTTATCTAACTTACTAGTAGTTGGTTTAAAAATTACATTACATTATTTCAATAAATGTCAGATGAATATAAAAAATGTTAAAGACTAAGCAAAATTGGTAGACAGTAAAAGTATTGATTACTTACGTATGCTACAGATAAACATCTGTATTGCTTATATTATGGCTACGCCTGCTCTATGATATCTTCAAAATTATAATATATAACAATTAATTTTATTCAAAATGATTAGGTCATCGTTTTTATACGATAAGTCAATTAAAACAAATAAAACAAAAATGATTGAAAAAATAAAGTGCCTCATAGGCAATATCTACTCTAAATGCAAACTTCACAATATTTAGTCTCACTAAGTATTTCTTTTTGCATGTCGCCTATTTGTTAAGTCAATATCTCAATATATATGAATCATACTCCGCTCTGATAAAAAACTCAAAAAAACTGCCAAAGTTCGAAAAATTTTTTATATGAAATTAAACAAAAATAAATTGAAAATAGTATTTTATATAAGTTCAGAAAGCCTTTTTAAAGGACTCAACTTAAATAAAAGTTATTGTTATATGAAAAAAAGCTATGTAAAATAAATCAAAAATAAAAACTATAAAATATATTTTTATATAAGTTCAAAAAAAATTGAACTAAAAACAACTTAGCACAACTAAAAACAATCTTAGTCTCACTATATAGCTCTTCAGCTACTATAAACAAACATTTGTCATTAGAACTTTTAAAGAAAAATATTTGGCAGTCAGCCCATAGATTCTAATCAAGTTCAAAATTAAGAATATTTTTCAATTTACTTTTATTTTATATTTTTTATTTAAAATTTAATTAAATTATATAGTTTAAATTAAAAAAAAATATTTTAATGGATTAAATTCAAATTAAATTTAAATAAATACAAAAAAATTACTTTCTTCTTTTCAGAGTATCATACACACTAATATATATACTTTTTAATTTTTTTTAGATAATTAAGTAAAAGTGATCGTATAAAACATATATTCTAAATTTTAGTTTAATTTTATTTCTAATAATTTTACAAATTTTCGAAAACTTTAAAACTTTCTTCACAGTATTTAATATTAAGTTTTGCATATTTTAATATATAATATTATTTTTAATATTTAATTATTTTTTTACAATATAAAATTCTCTTGTCAATCTTCTTTCATTCTATATAAAATATATTAGAATTTTTAAATTATTTGAATCTTAAATGTAATATAAGTATAAATATATTTATGATATTTTAAAATTATATTATGATAATGAAATGGTTTTGTATGTACATATCCAATAAATATTACTTACTTTTAATTCGCCGTTAGAAAGAAACAATGAAATTGTAAGGGAAGCTCTAAACAAGCTCTAAAAAGAGTCTTAGACGCGTTTTCCCTTCAGACTGTAATAAAAAAAATAATAGCATATTTTATTTTCCATTTAAAGGTGCAATGTTTTTAATAATACTAATATTGTAATTTTTTCTTTATAATAAATGATCTTTAAATAAGTTTATGCGGTTAATATTTAATATTTATTTATCTAAGTAAAAAATTATAAATATATTTTTATAGACACACAATGTTCTTTTAGTATTTTAATGGGTGTTCTTAGATAAATTAAAATATTAAAATATTTTAAGTACGGGTTGATTTGCATTGTAGTGCTTTAAGTTTAGAAGGCGATTCCTTGGTCAGATTAAGTTCTGCTCATTATACAGATTGCGAATGCAGAACAAAAAAATGGACCCCTTTGATTTTATGGTAGCCAGCTCGAGTATCCAGCTAAAAGCACAATCAGCTTTGAATTGTAGAACACTTAAAACAAACCAAAGCTGCGTATAACACAATGATCTTAAGTGTTCGAAACACACGAAAGAGCTGTTGAATGTGCATATGAGAAGGTGTGTGATATAGTATAGAAATTGTTGCTATATTTTCTATTCATATTGCTATTTTGGGTGCTTGTGTGATTTATATGTTGACAATTTTCTGTTTTGCGAACTTATGCTTCCATAGTTTTGCTGCATCAAGACGAAAGGGCAATGAAGTGCAATTTTTTGTTTCTATATTTACAAAATTTGGTTTCTTTTGGGTTAAAAGGAAATAGAGAGGAAAGGGCGTTCAATAGTAGTTAGTGTTGAATGGACACACAAACACACAAATTCAAAGAAATAGTCTTTGCTTTTTGTATACATTTTTCTAAAATATATGATTGACTTTGTGTGCATGCAATGCACAATTTTTTCCAAATTATTATAAATTTGATTTTTGATGAAATTTCATAGTGGTCTCTTATATTTTGATATTAGGTTTGCATATTATGAGTTGAGTAAACACCGGCAGTAGCCAACAATAGTTGTTGTTAGTGCAAATGGTATTAATATTTATGGCAGTGAAGACAGTACTATGTACTGTACTAGCCATGATATCATGAAGTATGTTAATAAACACCATGTTGTTAAATATCTATTTATGTTTTATATTTTAATATACAAATATAGTATAGCTGGCAATATCACTTTCCAAAATATATAAAATATTTTTTTTTTAAAAACTAAAGTTATAAATATAAACATATACATACATATATTTCCTTATGGAAAGGTAGTCATACAAGGACTTTATAGTTGATTTAAAAGCAAGTTACGTTTTATAAAAACTATATAGATATGTAAGTTATATTAAAAAATTATTGATGGTAAATGCAAATGCATACTTTAAACAGAACGGATTTAACTGGCGTCAAATATTTTAGTATAGTTTGTTAATTTACTGATAATGGAAACCTTTGCCCAAACCGTATGTATTTATATAAATTCTAAGTGAAATGGTTAATTTATCTAACAATAGCTTATTATCGGCATTTTGTTTAGGAATATATATTCTACTAAATGGCAAATACATGAATTTTGCACACGGTACTACAAATTTATTGTAATTTCAAATTAATTTTAGTGACAATTTTACATGTTGCGAACTGATAAGATATATTGCAATTACTTTACATACACACAATATACAATACAGAAACAATTAAATTAATAACACATTGCATACATATGTGTTTATGTAGAGGGATAGGATAATTATATTGTTGTATACATGCGACATTAAAATTTTTAAATGTCACAATGACGGGGCATTTTACAATAACAATTAAAAAAGCTTTTTTTTTGATAATTGGCACGCAAACATTAATAAAGTTTTAGATAGAAATACAAACATATATCTATGTATAACATATA